AAAAAAAAAAAAAAAGAAACAATACAACAATCAAGATGTGATATATATGTAACAATTCCCCACAACGAATGTATTTATCATGTGTTGCAAACATACACTAATAAAAAAGGGGAAAATAAAAAATTAAAAAACATAATGAAAGAAAAATAAATGATAGTTATATAGTCATTACTATGCTGAAAATGTCTATGGCTCATCTTACATTCTTACTCTGCAGACTGCAGAGATGTACTCTGTATATCCCCAGAATCCTGTAAGAAAACTAAAGCCAGCGAGTGAGCTTTGCTGGCTTTCATTTTTGTGTGTGTGGTTTGTTTTCAGCATAAATCAATATGCCAATTATGTCTTTTCAAATGATAGCCACATTCTATCCTCTTTCATTAAGAATCCCTATTGAGGAATAGAGAGAAATGTGATGTGTTTTCCACTATCTTGGAACTACAAAAGTTTCAGGGGATACAGGACCAACATAGGAAGAAATAATCAAGCGCTTCTTTCTATGTTTACATAAATCCAGCTTCACGTATGCTTAAAAGCCTTCTGTTGCCCTCTGTCCCCCAGAGACCCCAATCATTTCATCCCTCACTTTTGCCCCAGAATGAGTCCACACATCCGGGGGCTGTATCCACCCATCACTGTTCACACACCTTACTCTCTGCACCATGCACTTGTTCTTATAGGTTCTACATTGAGGGGAAGGAAAAGACTATTCTCTGAGTCTGACATCTAATGCAGGATGCCTATATGGGAGTTTTCATAAGAAATTTCTGGAGCAGCTGACTCACGATTGCTAGGGAAAGCCAAGCCATGAAGAATCCACTAAACAATTTTAATTTTCTTCCCGTCCTGCACATGATCCTCATCCCAACTTCTAAACAAAGGTGTTAATGAGAATAATGACACACTCCTGTGGGTGTTCTTTCTAGGTTACTTTCTGTTAATGAACAAATGGTCTGGCCAAGATGAAGAGAAAAAAAGCCAGGCACTTGGTCTAGGGATGTGCATTTTAGAATGAAGATGGCGCCACTTATGCTAGAGTTCCCTGGGCGTCTATGCCTGCCTCCCACGATTACAGCCACGCTGCTCCCAGCCAGAGGTGCCCAGCATCAGAAACCTGGTCCCTACCATCTTCTTCTTGGTAAACTCCATCACCATCTGGTCTGCCAGCTTCTCCTGAGCCAGCAGCTGTGCTTTCTGCCTCTGGTTTTCATCATTGATGCGCTTAATCTCAGCTTGCATCTTCAGCCTTTGCTGGTGTCTCTGCTGCAGGTCCTGCCAGCAAAAGAGAGAGAGCCTCAGAGCAGAAGGAGGTGGAACAAAAGGCTGCTGGCTTACGGGGTGGAAATGAAGATGGAAGCAGGAGACAAAGGTGCTGCCCAGTCTCGCTCCCATCACCGCCTTTGTTAGAGTTGCTCTCTCCAGGGTCATCAGGGATGGCTACCAAATGGTCACCTGCTGTCTTCAGCCAGCTTGACCCTGCTGATCTCTTCACACTTAGGAAGCAACGGCTCTTAAAGTTCTACTCTGTGCCCCTGCTTCACTCAAATTCCCAGCCTGGTGGCTTTGTTCACACTGCTATCCTCCTGCCTTCAATCCTTTAATTTGCTTCTCTTGTGCAAACCCAAACTTTTACTTAAATTTTATTTTAATCCTTTTTTTTTTTTAGGTACCAAAGGTTTTTGTGCTGAGCTATCTCCCCAGCCTTTTAATTTTATTTTTGAAAGTTTGAGACGGGATCTCACTAAGTCATTAAGTTGCCTAAACTAGGCTTGAACTTGTAATCCTCCTGCCTCAGCTTCCCAGAGTGTTGAGATTACAGGCATGTACTATTATGCCCAGATTCAAGTTCTCTTTTTTAAAATTTATTTTTTTAAATTGAGGAACTCAAATTTTCAATCTCCATCCAAAAGTGATGATTAAAAATAAATATTGCCCTATTTAAGTGTTTTCTATACATTGGGCATGGTCTAGTTCCAACATCTAAATATAAGCGGAAAAGTCTGATAGACAGGTCTCGGGCAGAGGAAGAAACTGAGGCCCAGTATGAAGTGACTGCTTTGTCTAATTTAAAGTTTCAACCCTCTCTGGGAATCTTACTTTACTGTCCCCACTTTGAGTTCTCTCTCCACTTTTGAATTCCCTCTGCACTTATGGTGGTGCAAGGCCTCTTGGGAGGTGATCCCATACTGCTACAGGAAAACAGCAACATAAACTATCGCTAAATAAGGACCAAAATGAGTGGCATGTGAGAAAGAAAAGCATGAAGTCCTAGACACAGAAAAACACGTGTCTCTGAGCTATGGAGAAAGGAGTCCCAGCAGGATCCTGAGTGACAGATCCTTTCTGAGAAAGGAACCCCTGCCTTTTCCAGCTCTGAGCCCCCAAAGTTCCCCACTGATCAGACCACCTCTGAGCGCAGGCCCATTCTCACTTTAGAGTGCAAAAGGGCACTGTGATCTTATGCACCTGGCTCCCATGGCCTCTGATGGATTTCCAACTCCCCACCTCCCACACTTTCTAGCTCCTTCTCTTTCTTCAAAGACCAAACCCCTCCTGGGCCTTCCAGCTCCTCGCACGACTTCTGCCCTGATTCACCCAAGTCAACCCTGCCCGTGTGTCCTCCTCTTGGGCTGCCTTTCTGCCAGCCTGGCTCACCCCTTACCCCCAGCTCAGGCTGCCTCCTCCAGGAAGCCTTCAGAGCCACATCAGCACAGCAAGCAGCTGCCTCTCTGGTCCACACAGTGCATGGGTGACAGCTGAGAGCATTTCTTCACTCTCTCCCTGTATACTGTTCAGTCCACTTCTCCACTCGGCTTTTCCAGCTAACACTCCTTTTTTCCCTCTCCATTTTGTCCTTTCTGGATTTTCTCACCAGTTTCAGGCTTTCCATTGCTACCACTGGCATTATTTAATCCCACTGATTCTCAAAACTGCTGGCCTCTGATCCAGGATATACAGACAATCGTGGGTCTATCTGCTTCCTTATTTACTCTTTGATTTGTTGTTTTTGTTGGCTCATTTCATTTCCAAGAAACTAAAGATTTTCTCTGTTTCTCATCTTTGAAACCCTCAGAGCAACCAAAAAAAACTCCTCTCGCTCTTCTCCATCTTGCTAGCAAGGTGGGAAAGCCTGCCTTTGCACCTTGAGATGACAGGGCAGCTCTCAGACAGGGGAGGCATGGAATTTATGACCTAAAATTACCACTGCCTCCTGGAGACCCAGGGAAAGACACCCAAAGGACAATGACCCAGCCTCAGAGTAACGGTACTGACTGACTCCTGGAAACTTCTATCGATTCCCCCTCTCCACAACCTGGTTGGATTTTCCAGTCTTTTTTGCTCATGCCCCTTCTCTGCATATTTGCTCCATACCACTCCTTCCTGGCCTTTTCCCACCCTCTCTCCTGAGCCTTGGTGCTCTCCTCAAGCACTTCGCAAGGCTAAATGCCCCTTCTCTCCCTCAGCTATCCACTGACCTCCATCCCACCCTCATGCTGATCCCCAACTTCAGGTGCTCTGGTAACCTTCAGGGTTACAAGTCTGGCCACTTGGGATCCTTCACAGTTCCATCACTCATCACCAGCAAATGCACACAGGCTGATGACAACTCAATCATCCATAAACTGGGGGGGAAGGGCATAAAAATAAAAGTAAAGCAAGATACGCACCACAGGTTAAGCAGTGCCATGAGGAAAATATCAGACGAATCCCAATGTGGAACATCCTCTAAGGCACCTGGCCTGGATGCCTCCAAATATCCATGTCATAAAAATACATGAATAGGGGGGGGGTGGGTTGTGAATAGAGGATGGTTAACAGGCACAGGGGTGCAACTGGATACAAGCAATAACTTCTCATGTTCTGTAGCACCATGGGAGAACTACCACTGACAACAGCTTATTCTATATTTCAAAAGAGCTAGTAGAGAAGATCCTGAGTGAGATTACAAAGAGATGGTAAATGTTGGTGGTGATGGATATGCCCACTACCCTGATGTGACCACTGCATATCATACACTGAACTATCATATTGTACCCCATAGACATGCACAATTACCATGTGAACTAAACATAAAGTATATCTAAAAAATAAAAGAATCGATGACTGAGGAACTCTTTTAGATCAAAACAGAAACTTAACCAAATGTGACATGCAAATTTTGATTAGAGCCTGGTTTGGAAAAAAAACAAAACATCTATAAGTACATTTTTGGGACAATTATAATATAGCTTAAGTGTTAGGTGATAGTATGGATTCATTGAGTTTCTGATGGAAATGTGATAATAGTACTATTGATAGCCAAGACTTCTTCAGAGATGCAGACTGATGCATTTTAGTGGCAAAGTGTCAAGATACCTGCAATTTAAAATAAATTAATAATAGAAAATATATATATATATTTATGAAAACAAGCAACTAAAGCAAGTTGTTAATACTCATTAAATCTAAATCAAGAATTTACAGGTAAGATACAATTCTTTTAACTTTCCTGGGCATGTAAACATTTCAAAATAAAAAAGTTGAAAGGAAAAAAAGAATAGATGCTCCAAATGCCTGTCGTGTTCCTCCATGCCTGTGTACACTGCAACAGAGCAGATCAGACAAGTAGAAAGGGATCTGTGAAGTCTCCTTAGCTTGGGTAAGTATTTGTCAGACTTTGCTTTTGTGCAGCAGGTATGTCTACTAATTTTATTTAGGTTCCCAGAAAGAAAAGAGCTGGCTTCGCCACACAATTAATGACAATGGGATGCTATGCACTTCTGATTAGTAACAGTGGGGAGTCTGGAACTAAGGCATGGCCAGTGTTCATCCACAAAGCATGCTATATCCTTTGGTGATGGACACAGACTATAAAGCGTGCCTGTGTTTACTTGTGCAAAGCATGCAGCCCTAGACTTGCTTTATGTGTCTGCTCACACTGAGATGTTAGTCTCAGACCCCAGGTCCCAGGGAGGCAGGGACAATATCTACCCAAATCATTGCTCATCCCCCAGCATGACACCATAGCCAAATAAATGCTTCACACGGTAATAAAAAGTGGATGGTGATGATGTTGTGAAATAAGCGTGTGCCTGACAAAGAATCGGTCCACACCCTGGAGCCCCCAAATCTCGGAGGGCTTTGTTGCTGTTGCTGGTGAAATTCAGCATGGCCTTCTGGCCCTGTTACCTGCAGATCCTCCTCATGGAGCTGCTCCATGTACTCCAGCAACTGCTCTTTCTCCTGCTCCCGTTGCTCTGCAAGCAGTGAGCGCTCCTCCTGGTTCTTTTCCATCTGCTCCACAATGTGTCGTCTTCCTCTGGGAAAGAACAGTGACACAGCGTTACAGTTACAGATACTCTCTGCTGGGCAACAGGGCTGAGACTGGGGAAGTCTCTCAGTCAGGTGACCCCTATCCGGAGTAAAGAGCCGGAGACTGGGTCCACAGTGTTACCAGTAACACCCTGTGTGTTCCTGAGGTATCAGTAAGTTTGGGAGCATCTAGACCAAGTGACATCAGTAAAGGCTGGAAGAATGACAGAAGACAAGATTTGGGAAGACTCAAGGGGAAGGAATATAGGTTTCTCCTTCAGAAGGAGGACTTCCCAGGCTTCCTACTCCAGATGAAATGAACCTGGAAGCACCCCGAATTTAATACAAGGAACATGTCAAATCATTAGAACTGCCTGATAAGGCAGAGATATTTCCTGCATTGGAGCTGCTTGCGCAGAGGGTGCACAGCCACTTAGCCACAAAATGAACTGTGGCTGGGAGCCTTCTACAGCCTACAGGGCTCCTACGAGAACCACAGAGATGCATGCTTCAAGGTAACCAACCAAATACAGCTGGGGAGATTAAACTGCCAATCAGTGTGCATATAGGACTGCTCCTGTAGGTAATTCATATATTGTGTGGCTGGTGTTCGAACTCTGGGACACTATGATTCTGTAATTTTCTTACTCTGGGACTTGTTCTGTTCCGAAAAATTAAGGGAGAGAGACACTGAATTTATTCACTCTCATGTGAAGTGAGCACTCACTACAGGACAAACACTCTGCTAGGGCCTGCAGTTTCAGAAAGGAATGACAGAGCCCCTGTCCTTAACAAGCTGCAAGCCTAGTGAGGGTTGAGAAGGAACCACATCCCAAGAAGAGGTGCATGAGAGTGACAGGGGAGAGAGGAGAAGCTCCTGAGCCTGCCTGAAGTGAGGAGCCTTCTCAGAGGAGGTGACAGCAAAGCCACTTACCCCAGGAAGGAAAAGCATTTTCCCAGAGGAAAGGGAAAGAGAACGGTATTCCAAAGAGTGGGAATCTGTGACAAGGCCTAGCATGCAGGGGAAACAGGGAAGTGTAGAGTGGGTGGCAGGAAGTGGTGAGAAATGAGGCTGCACTGGGGCCAGATTGAGAAGCACTGGTTATGATTGTGAAAATGAGCTTTAAAGTTCTGTGACTCTCTGTACCCTTCGTGGGGGACTATAGATGGTGAGAATGTCCAAGTCTCATCTCGTCCCTCTTAGCTAGGCTACATGGACTTACAGGCGCTCAGAAATGACTTAGGGAAAAGCAAACCATATCTTTACCGTATTCTTTCCTCCCGCCTCCTCCTGTCCAGGTCCTCCTGCCTTTGAATGGATTTCTGCCGCTCCACTTCCATCATCTGATCCAACCGCTTCTCCTCGGCATCCAGCTCTTTTTGTATCTGCTGCTTCTCCAGGATTTGGGCATCCCGGATGGCATGGCATTTGGCATTGAGGATAATCTAGGGAGTGGGGAAGAAACTGTGACACTAGGCCTGGGGGCAAGGACAGAGGAGGACAACCCTCAGGCAGCTTGGAGCTCTGGGTGTGTGGAAGCATGTGAGGGCAGAAGGGGGGCAAATACCTCTGAGAGTGCTGGAAAAGTGTGTGGCTGCTCACAAGTCCAAAAAATCAAAATCATTCTGTAATCTTCCCTCCCCCTCAATATAGTTCAGCTCAGACATCTACTAGGATCCTAGTATATGAATGCCGCTGTGCACAGAGAGACCAGACTAGCATCTTTTGGGATTATATAGTATTTGGGGGGTGATGGATTACCCTTTTGAATATGATGGAAGTTATGAACCCTCTCCTTCATAAAATTCACCTATGGAAATACACAAGGAATTTCCATATAGCTTCTGAGGCTCATGGTCCCACTTGGGAACCCATGAACCCCAAGTTAAGCTCAGGGGAGCTAAGATACCTTAGCAGAAGCCACATCACTAGATTTATGCACTGGAAGAGCCCAGTGAGACACAAAAAGGGATGAAACCATGCATGGGCCCATCAATAAAACGAAGACATAAAAGCTCTAGAAAAGAAAAGGAAGTGTAAGCAGGGAAGATTTACCTAAGAGATAGAAATCAGAGATGAAAGGACTGAGGAGTCAGCATGTTTCACTTGGTCGGAAGCAAATCACACACAAATGAATTACAAAATAGAATTTCAAATGAGTGTCTGGTCTTTATGCACTCTGCTAAAAGAAGCACTGTGGACTGAAGTCAAAACAAATCCTACTGCCTGCACCATCAGTGACCAGAATTGAACTAGCAGGCTAAAAATAAAGAGCAATACCTTTATACTTATTTATCAATCACAATTCGCAAGACTCTCCCAGATTCTAGCTTATTTAATCCTGCCAACAGTTCTGCTACATTGAGGTCATGACTTTCATTTCACAAATGAAGGAAATAAGGCTCAGGGAGGGCAAGCGATTTACCCAGGGTCACACACCAAGCAGTAGCAAAGCCTGTCCTCTCTGATCACAGCAACAAGGGTGGCAGATCCAGCTCTCCCCATGCCCCACCTAGACTAGCTCATCCCCCTCCCATTCCCACCAGTCCCTCATCTGGTCCAGTGTGTGAGTAAGAGGAGGGAGGGGGCGTGGCACCCAGTCTTCAGGGGAAGAGGCCCACCTTGTTGATGTCCTTGAGCTCCTCCTCCTGCTCCATGCGCAGCTTGCTGGCTCGTTGCAGGAGGTCCTGGGCCCGATCCTTGGCCTCCTCCTCCAGGTCCGTGAGCTTCTTGTTGTTCTTCCGCGCCATTTCCTTCTGTTTCATGATCTTCTTGCGTGTGGTCACCGCATCCTAAGGGTGGGCAGACCAGGTCAGTGGGCTGTGGGCCCTGGGCAGCCTGGCTGCCTAAGAGACCCACAGTGATTTGGCCTCCGCCCCTGAGGTTTCCCAGCCTGGCTTCATCGTCACCCTCCCTTCGGCCCAAGAAGTCCCCATCTCAGGTATTCCTCTCCAGTTTTCACTCTGCAAAATTTCTTCATTAACTACACATTCACATTTGCTTCAGAATCCCCTAACAAGGTGGGGTCCCCACTGTTGCAAGGAGCTGAGCTCCCCCTGAGCATCTGTGGTCTGCCACCCCTCTGCAGGGTCAGGGCTCGGGGAGGGTAGATACCACAACGGCTTCCTTCTCCTTCTTGAAGGCCTGCTCCTGGGCTTCCAACTCTTCTCTGGTCACAACATGTGAAGCCCTTTTGATCCGCTCAAACTCCTCAGAGCTGATGATTAGGGATTCCCCGGAGGGGTCCTCTGTGGGAACACTGACACAGGAAGAAACCGAGTTAGAGAGGAGAAAAGGGGAATCCCGGGCACCTTGTTGGGATTCCCCACACCATGCCAACCCTCCTGTGTGGACCCAGCCAGGGAGGAGAGGCTGCAGCTCCATGGTGGTTGGGGGTGCCAGGTGAAAATCAGGTAACACTGCAGACTGAAAAGAGACATTTGCTGGCGTGACAGCACATGCCTATAATCCCAGCACTCGGGAGGCTGAGGCAGGAGGATCACTGCAAGTTCTAGGCCAGGCTAGGGTACATAGTGAGTTCAAGGCCAGCCTGAACTACATAGCAAGACCCTGTCTCAAAAAGCCAAAATAAAATAAGAATGATAGCACCTTAAAAAAAAGAGAGAGGGGGACTGGGGATATAGCTCAGTGGCACAAGCGTCTACCTGGCAAACACAAGGTCCTGAGTTTGATTCCCAGTACCAGAAAAAAAAAAGGGGGAAGAGAGAGAGAGGCAGATATTTTAGTTGGGGGTTGTAGAACATGCCTATAATCCCAGCACTCTGGGAAGCTGAAGCAGGAGGGTCACAAGTTCGAGTCCAGCCAGGGCAACTTAGTGATGTAGGGGAGAAAAGTGTGGAAATAAAGGCCCTAGAGAGAGAGAGAAAGAGCATAAATTCTTGTTCTCTTCATATATTCCCTTCTTTGTGCAGCTGTCCTCAGCCCTCCCATGTGTTCCTGTACATCACCCTGCTCCCAGACCTACATATCACCTCTTCCTCTGACCCCCACCACCCTCTGTTCCTACTGCCCACATCAAGGCTGATGGTGCAGGCTCTGCCTCCTTCACAAGCTCCTTCAGCTACACAATCTCTGGCACAGTGCTTTGCATTAACTGAGCCCTCCAAGCAAAGTTGCTGAATCGAACTTTAAGAACAGATTATTCCTGATGACATTAAAAAAAAAAAAAAAAGAGCAAGAGGACGCCAGACAAGACTGAAATGGATGCTAGTGAGAAATCTAAACATCCCTGTCTGTCCAGCTGGAGAGAAGCTTTGAACCCTAAATACTAATTAAAATCTCTGATCAACAATTGCTGGAGACATGTCCATAGACCTCTCCTGGTAGCTGCCCAACGCATTCAACAAATCTATAGGTAATTATAATGATTACAAACAAATGACATACATTAAAGATGGGGGAGGGAGCAGTCGGGGTGGGAATAAAGCTGCTTGTGGGTGAGGCAGTTTAACAGGTGCATAGCAATAAGACGCAGGCGGTCTGAGACAGGAAGTGAAACCTCATCTAATAAAACTAGTGTGTGATAGGGGGAGGGGCTGTCCATAAGGTAGACAGAACCAGTGAGTGGACATGGGCCCCATCCACGATTACTGCGGTCTGCCCAGTGGTGTGGCACAAAGCAGCCTGGGATACGGGGTGACCTGAAGAGATCTGCATCTAAGATACCAGATCTGAAAAATGACCGGCAGTTGGGTCCAAAGCATCTATACAAGGATCCCACTCCAAGAAGGAGCCATTCTCAGGCCCCAAGCCTGGCTGCATGGCTGCTGACCCATCTGACTTGATTGGGCTCAACAGAAAGCTACAGCCAACGGCTCCTGTGCTGTGTACCAGCCAACCTCCTCAGCCCATGCCACAGGCAGCATTTTCTGGGGATTTGCATTTTTAGCTGGTGGAGCGAGAATGGAAAGAACTGTTACAGAGAGGACAGCACTAATGTAAGAGTGAACCACTGAGCAGTGCAGGCTTCTTTGCACCTTGCCGAGCTTGGCCTCAAGCCCTCTGGGGTCCACGCAGTCAGGAAACAAGGCTGAGCTAGAAGCCCCTGTGAATTTCCTCTCAGAGCCTCAGACTCTAGGGCCAATTAGGTATGCGGTCAGTTTCCCTTGGCTTGGGATTCTTGATGCGGCCAAAAGGAAGTGACTCATCCGGATTGCTTCCCTTTACCAACTGCACTAAGAGGAGTTCAGCCGGGATCCTGAATATTCCTCTCTGCCATGCCCTCAGACCCCGCAGGCAGCGAGAAGATAGGGAGGAGAAAGAAGCCAGAAGTGGAGGACAATGGCTACAACACAGACAACAAAGGGAGAAGTGAGAGAGGCTAGGATGCACAAGAAAGAACCATGAAATAAAAAGGGGGCACTGACTAGGAAAGAAACAGCAACTGGGCCAACAGAATGGAAGCAGACAAGCATGCCCAGCTTCCCAGAAACTCTTCAGAGGTAGTTAAGGCTGAGTGAGGGAGGCCTGGGCCTGCAACCTGCAGACTCACATGAGTTTTCGCACCATGTCCCTGGTGATGAGCTGGATGGTCTCTGGCTTGTGGTCCAGGCCCAGGGCAGTGAGAGTTTTCCGGATGGTATGCTTGTCTCGCAGCAGCACAATGGGGCTGTGGCTCTGGCTCTGGGCTGGGGGCTACGAGGTGGAAAGGACAGCTTAAAGTCCACTCACCCAGTCCTTGCTGGTGAGTGTTAACTTCAAGTGCAGCCTCCCCTCCTGGCCTTGCACCCCAGAGAGCAAAGGGGAGGCTGGCAAAGCCCAGAGTGTAGGATGACCATGAGCAGCCAGTGCTGGGCAAGCCACTGGACCTCTCTGTTGGAATATGGCTGGAGGTGTGCTGTCCTGACCCGCTCTTCTGAGAACAAGGCCTCTTATGCTCCTGCAGGTATTCCTCGCAGGATGACAGGGTCAGTTGTCAGGGCACAGGAGGAGAGGGGCTGCCAGTAAGGAATGAAAAATAGGTTCTCATCTCTCCATGAAGGTTTCTCCTTTCTCGAAGAAGGAATAATTGTCTCCCTTGGACCACACTGTGGGTTTGAATTGATACAACTTGTTAATATAACCTACAATAGAGGCTGGGGATTTAGATCAGCAGCACAGCGCCTGCCTGGCAAGCGCAAGGTCGTGAGTTTGGTTCCCAGTACCAGAAAAAAAACAAACAAAACAAAAAAAAAATATATAGTCTTTGATAGAGCCAGGTGTGGTGGCACACACATGTAATCCCAGCACTCAGGAGGCTGAGGCAGGAGGACCATTGCAAGTTAGAGACCTACCTGGGCTACAAAGTGAGCTCAAGGCCAGCCTGAACTGCAAATTGAGACCCTGTCTCAAAAAGACAATAATAACAATAATAATAATAACAATGATAATGACCTATAATATTTTAGTTTTTAACCTTTACCAAAGATAAATTTTAAAAGCCATATTGAGGGAATTAGACATAGCTAAATGACCTCGAGGTGATCTGTCCTTAAAAGCTAACATGGTGAGAAGTCAGTGAATTAGATGTCAGCATGATGAAAACACATTTACATGAAGAAGTTCGATAATAAGAAAGGCAATCACTCATTTCAGAGACTCTCTTCACACAGGAGAGAGCATCTATGTCCTTGCAGCTACTTGGACCCTGGCTGGAGGCAGGGTTGTGTCCTTGCCTACCTGAGGGCTTCCCTTGACCCTCTGTCCCCTGAGCGCTGCTGCCACCTGCTGCCCATCTCTGCCTCCAGGCAGACACCACTCAGTCACACCACAGGCCACTTCTGCCCCCTACTGCCAGTTGAAGGACTTCCAGACTCACTCACATGGAAGCACTTTCCTGACGGCCCTCTGTTAGTCTCCTGGCGCACTCCCCCACTTCCAAACCTCTCTTCTCTTTGACTAGAAAACTTCACATGGGCCCCACCCCCCCCAAAAAAGAGTCTGTTTCCCAACAGGAAAACAGCAGCAGAATGAGAGTCTTCTAAACAGAAAAAGACGCCCACCGTTAAGCCCCTGGAAAACGCTCTTCCACTCACAAAGAGGACAGTGATGAGCAAGGACAGACTTCAGCTATCTGCTCCTCAACCCACCCGCTGCCAGGCAGGGGTCCCTGCGCCACCACTGCAATCTTTCTTCCCCTCTCTCCTCTCCCGCACTTTCTCACCACCTGCTGTCCATGCCTCGTTCTCTTTCTCTTCTTTCAAGACCAGCCTAGGCTACATAAGTGAGTTCAAGGCCAGCCTGGACTGTATAGCGAGACCTTGTCTCAAAAAACAAAACAAAACAAAACCAAAAAAAGCTGTAAATGCTCTTTCTCTTCTTTCTCACCTCCTGAACTTCAGATTTACCCAAAATTTTCAAACCAGTTCTTCAGTTCTCTTTCCTGACAAAAGGAGTTGCCTATATGTCAATCAACAGATGAGTGGGTAAAGAAAATATGGGATTTAAACACAATGGAGTACTACTCTGCTATAAAGAAGAATAAGCTTGTGTCATTTGTAGAAAAATGAATGCACCTTGAGATCATAATGTTAAATGAAATAAATCAGACACACATGCTTAAAGAGAGCATGAGTCCTCCTATGTGAGAATAAATAAATTGAAGAGCAAAATAATAGATAGATAATAGGGAGCAAGATCTTTTAAAAATGGAAAGAGAACCAAGAGACGGAAGGAGGGAGAAGGGAGGAAAGAGAGAGGGATACAAGAGGAATGAAGATGTGTTATGTACACTTACCACTTCCCCACACCAAACGCAATCATTATGTACTGCAAACATCATTCTGTACTGCAGTTTGAGTAATAAACTTTTTTTAAAAGAGTTGTCTGTCTCTTAGTCCGAATGAGTCCTGCATACAAAGACCTGCTTGTTTCCCAAACCTAAGTCATTGTTTCAGTTGAGCTAGTGGGACAGGAGGTCATCTGCACTCTCGCGCCAGCTGTGTCTGCCAGCTGGGCCTGCTGGCCCTCAGATGCTTTGATCCCGGGCTTCCCCTGAGCTCCCTTCAACATTACACCAGAGTCTAAATGCTGTGAAGACTGAGGACTTCAGAGGAACAGGAATCCCGCTGCCCCGTTCGGCCTGGCCAGAGGCCTCCGAATTCCCCCTGTATCTTCATCTGAGCCTTGACCTACAAGAGTGAGCACAGTGACTTGGCTAGTATAAGCTTTGTCCTGAGCTACAATGGTCTAGGCTCTGCCTCCGGGTGACAGATATCCAGAGGAACTTGCTAAGGGTTACCTTGATGCCTCCAAAGAGGCTCTCATCCACCTCAGAGTTCATGGCTTTGGTCCGATAACGAGCTCTATTTCGTGATCTGTTGGAAGCAGTAGAAGAGGCGCTCAGGATGCCATTCGCACTCAGCGGCTGCAGAAAGAGGCAGAAAGTCATTATCGGTATAGAGGTCATCAATACATCGTGGCTTCCAGACCCCAGCAAATACCCCTCCAACCCTTGCTGGAGCCAGGCAGGTAGGAATGTAGAAAAACCACCTAGGGAAAGACTTGAACCACCTAGGGAAAGACTTGAACCACCTAGGGAAAGACTGAAACATAGGGACAAAGAACAACAAGTGGACAGTATCCACACAGAAACAGGGCAGTCCCTTGGCAGGGCTGAAGCCTATAAGCCCTGCAAAAAGAACCATTTCTGTAGTCCTGAAGCTGAGGAAGGCCAAGTTGGTCGTGCAGTACAAAAGGAAGAGTAAGGAAATGGGAATGACAGGGGGAGAGGAGCAACAACATTTCACCTCCCCAGGAATGTATACTGTCCTCACCACCACTCTTCTCAGCCTGAGCTCCAAGACCCTTTCACAAATGACACGCCACCTGACCTCCTTCTGGTCTTGCAGTCTCACAAGGACATGATGGGGAGCAGAGGAAAAAAAGGATGTAGAAGCGCTTTGCCCATTGCTGGGCATGTGGTTGAGACCCAGTAAACTGTCGGCCATGAATGATCACCAGCTACAATCAGGCACACAATTAGCAAGTTCCTAAAGTCCACTATGTCACTCTTTTCCTCTCAGCACTCCTTTAGTGTGCACTAGTCATCTAACCCCAAGAAACTGTCAATGTTTGGCCAACTCCCCCCATCTAATTTTTGTAGGTGGCAGGGTTCATCTTCAATAACAGAAGCTGAAAACACCAGGTACTTGCCTTCCCACCTGGGCACGGCCCCCAAACTGAGCCAATGCAATCGCCCCAACCTGACAATGACTAGAGAACTAGTGGTACAAAAAGTTGAACAAGGAAAGCGTCTGGGGTGAGAGTACTAAGAAGTACCATGCAGTACCATGCATCCTAAGCTGGCAACTTTGAGGGACAGCCATGCATCGATGAACCTGACCAAATCCACTCTGGTTTTGACTTTGGCCTTGTTTCCATCTGCAGAGCCTCCCTTTGTTCATGTGCCCTAAGCCTTGTTGGTGTAAAATCTTCTCAAAAATCCTCTCAATGCATTCATTACCTTCCGTGAATTCAAGTCTGGCTCTGTTGTTTATAACCAAGAACCCAAGTAATACAACCTCCATTCCCAAAGGTCAGTCCAACTTCAGCTCAGCCCCAAGAGTAGAAAAGTCCATCCCCGTGAAGCAGTTTCTACAAAGACTTTTGGACAGCTCCCGGCTTAATGTAAAGCTGATTTAAACCGCACTTTGCAGGCATTCACACCACCCCTAACCAGGTCTATAAGCTGGGCTACTTTAGGGGAATGGGCTGGGCACATTGGGTCCCTCAGTACCTGGGAATCAGCAGCCATCAAGGGAACAGGGTAAACGGAAAAGAACCGTGCATTCTAGGTCACTAAACACTGACCAGTGTTTTGAAAGCTCTCTCTGATCTGCCATCACCAACCAGACCCCCGCAGCACCTGTTCCACCTGTATCAGGTTTTCACACTAAATTGGACAATTATCCTCCAGCTGGCTGTGTTCTGAACAATGAGCACTGCTGTGTGTGCCTCTCCCTTGCCGCCCAACATAGCCGGCAAAAGGCTGACAAGAGGAAGCCTCCCCTTACTTCCTCAGTCAGCCCCAATACAGCAAAGCAGAAAAGCTTGGATTTATTAAAAGGTAAATATAGCAGCTCCAAGGATGCCTAATAACAGCCTCTGAAGGGTTATTATATGGTGGGTGGTGAGCAACTGCTCCCCTTTCTACCAAAAATAGATAAGAGGAAATGAACAGAAGAAACTGTACTAGATGGAATTGATTCTAAACATTGGGAATAAGTGGAAAAGATGGGAGGCTTTGGACCGTGAGGGATGGTGTGAGTTCTGTAACAATAATAATAAAAAAAGGCTCAGCACCTGGCACACAGGAGCAACCCAACAGGTATCTGATGAAGAACAATGAAAGAGACTGAGCAAGATGACCACTCAAGAATTAACAGTCCAGACTGAGATGGATGCCTTTTGGGGACACAGCTGCCTGACTCCAAGTCACTCCCCCATTCCACATTTTCCAGCTCACGTATGTGGTCTGCAATGTGGATAATAATGTATGGGAAAGGGCTTGGGAATACAGATGGAAAGCATTATTACTGTTTTGCATTTGATTTCCTCTTTCTCTTCAAGGGCTCCTATAGGTTTTCCCTGGTGTGCGGGTGTCTGCCACACTGCAGGTTCTGGGGCCGAAGCTTCCCTCTACCCTTGGTACCCAGGTCAGGAGCAGTTCACCACAGGAAATAATCGACTGCCTGAGCCTCGAAGTCAGAACAGAGGAAGGAAAAGAGATGACCACAGAAAAGTGGCCACTGGGCAGGACAGAAGAAAGCTCTGAGCTCTAGGGTTGGGTGTCTGACAAACCTCATTTGGGAACTGCTGACTTTGAAACCACAAGCGTTACCCTAGGGTTAGAATTACCACTTTTGCCAAGAGTAACAAAAAGGATTAGGGAGGTCACTGTATAAATGTACTAGAAAAAAAATGAAGCACCAAGTGGTAATGGAAAGTTGGATTCTTCTGGACCAGAAGCAGTAGCCAAGAGGCTTTTTTAGGAGGTGGTTTTATTTTTTGCATGACCAAATAAGTATGGCCAAGAAGCTGAGGATTGGCTAGAGAGAAGCTCACCTAATCCTGCTTGGGGAGAAGTAGCTCTTCCCAAGGGAAGGCAGCTCTCCCTACCTCCTAGTAGCTGAAGATGCAGACTGGGGATAGACAGATGCCAGTCTTGCTTTGATGGTTCATCAAATGGTGAACTAAGGCAGTGGTGACTAAACCAGTTCCATCACACACACACACACACACACACACACACACACACACACTAGTGCTAATAATTGAACCTAAGACCTCTTGCATGCTAGGCAATTGCTCTGCTACTGAGCTGTACGCCCAGCTCTTGCCCCTCTCTTCATAAACCATCTCATCCCAGGAGCACAAGAATCTGACCCAAGCTGGAGGCTCTAAGAGAGACTCCACTATAGAACGATTAGCTGGTCAAATGGATGAAGATACTGACTTAAAGAAAATATGCTGGGTATGGCTGCATACACCTGTAATCCCAGTACTCTGGGAGACTAAGCCAGGAGGATCACAAGTTTAAACCTAGCTTGGGCAACTTAGTGAATTAGCGAGACCCTGTCTCAAAATAAAAAACAAATAAAGAGCTCAGATATTTGGCTCAGTGCAAAGGCCCTGGTTTCAGTCCCCAGTCATGCAAAAGAAAAAAAGGAATAAAAGAAAATAAAGTACATTCTAAGAAAGATATAAGTATTTCTGTGAAAATGTCTGTGCCATGGAAAGAATCTTCACAAAACCATTTAACAGTAATTTTAGGCAAGCTTTACCATCTTAAGATGCTTCTTATATTGAGTAATTTTCTGCCCTGGGAAGGTAACTTTATAACCAGGAAGAATAATAAAAATTATTTTTAGTTGAAAACAAACCATAACAGTGGGCCTGCAAGGGAGCGTAGCCCATAAAAACCACAGTATTGTATATGCCAGGATGTTTAGCTCAAACTCGGCAAGACAAAGCTGGAGCAGGACTGGAATAGATCGGTGTGGAATTTCCCTGACGTAACTGCAACACCTGTCACCTGAATGAAAACAAAGGTATGTCCTTTCCTAGATGTCCTTCCTATCCTGAGATCTGGTTCCTCTTTTGCATATAGAATCACTGTAAGCTGGCAAAGTCAGGCTTCAAATTCTTTGCCTGGTTCTATTTCTCTTTCTGTGGACTTTCATTACTAAGAAGAGGATGGCCATACACCCAGCCCCTTGCCTTTTTCTTCAAGTGAGAAATTATCCTCTTTCTTCAGGTGGACCAGGTTGCCATCTGACGGATGCCACTGAACCCGACACCCTGGTGAGTACTGAGGCCCCTGTCAGCTCCTTCTGCTATTAGTCATTATTTTTGTAAGAGTCCTAGAAGCCTGCATAATTGTGAGCCTCACCACCACTGCCATTTCTCACTCTTCCATGCTCTTAAAAGCCAGTGAGTAGCACTGATGTGCACGTGCGCAAGCACTTGCGCACGCACACACACACACACCCTACCAGTGATCACCGGGACCCACTGCTTCTCCAAAGTACCCATATGCCCAATTTTGTCCAAGGGACAAGGGCAGTCAGCTGCCCAAATCCCTGCACCCCTGCTCTGAATGGCCCCTTGGGTGGGGAATTCCTGATCTGGATGCTCTGCACCCCCAAAGTCTAATTCAATTGCAACTTACGGGTTCATGAACACTTTAGAAATAGAAAACTTTAAAACAGGAGAAACAGGGAGCTAACATTTACCATATGCCCTCAGATGTCAGGTGTGTTACTAGACCCTCACAGTGTGCCGAAGGGAGAGTAGATGCAAGAGTCAATTAAAACATATCACCAGAAGGGGACCCTCACTGCTTCACTTCACTTCAGGGAGCTCTCAAAAGTTTGGAACTGCTCTTTGTTGGAGACTTATTTCTTAACTAACAAAGTTCTTTGGAAACCCATGAAGCCCCAGAAAAGCAACGCAGCCTCTGAGCCGGAAGTGTGCCCACTGTACACCCAAGAGCCACCTTTGCCACCTGGTTTGCCAGGTATTCTACAGTTAATTCCTATAACCACAGACGCCAACATCTACCCTTCTTCCCACCCTAGCCCTCAGGGACCAATGCGCTCAGTTCAGGTAACCCCTTAGAGACTCTTCCAGGTCTTGCAGGCTCTCTCTAACTTCGGGGTCCCTACAGTCCTCCCCCGCCCAGGGAGCCCCTGGCCTGCCAGCCCTCTACCAGTCTCTCTCCAAGGCCTTGCAAACCTGGGTCCCACCTCATTCATACATTTATGAATTCATTCTTTCACAATTGCTTGTTGAGAACCCACCCACCGAGTGACCCAAAGCCCTGCTAACAGACAAAACTGAGGCTTGAGGACATTCAGTGATGTA